GCTATCATACTCGATATAGCTAGCTAACTCAATAAAAGTGGTACGGATAGCTAGCTATCACAAGCCGATATTGCCGGATAACATATTTTTATAGCTAGATAATCTCAAAGGCATTTTTTTGCTTGGGAGTATCAGGTTTTAGTCTATTATACGACTACTAACGAGACACGAGACTACGAGACTATACCCGGGTACGAGACACGAGACTATACTCGGGTACGAGAGCGAGTATACGAGAACCCCGATCTCGTTACATACCTAGCTATGACTGACTGTGATAATGCGATGACATTTATAACCGTTTCTCTCATCGCGTTAAGGTTTTCTTAGTTTTTATTTAATTAATATAGATGATATGAGCTAATTTTGATACTTAAAAGCTATTACATCCTGTAGAGCAAATAAGTTTTCTACAACCTGATATACTTGTTGGATTTTTGCCTGTTCGTCTTCACGCTTTTCAACACGTTTTTCAGATAGCTTCAAAATTGATCTTTTGGACTACTTGTACAACAGCTGTATTTTCATAATGAATCAACTTCCAGAGCCGAGACACTTCTTATTTTATAGAGAGATCTTTAATCTATTTAATTATCTATATATGGAATCTTAGATTAGTTTGTAGTTTTATTGCAAGAATTTCTTGAAAAAGACTAATAAAAAGGGGTGCCGTTAGCCGGACAAGCCCGATTTCTAAGTAGAAAAATAATGTCTGGAATCTTACGGTAAAAGATTCATTTAATTTGGCTCAAAAATGCATATTATAGATAAAAGAAAATATTTTCCATGCTCTTTTTGTTCTCCGTTCTAGAGAGAAACAGAATGTGACAACTATGAAGAAAGTATCAATAGAGATATATCTCCGTATTCAGATGCTAGAGGTCTAATCAGATATAATATAAATAAAGAATATGACTTCGTGCAAGAAAATGTTATATGGATAAGGAAAAATTGTTGAAACCATGATGAGCACTGTCATCCACATACCTCTAAGTCCCGAGTTGAGGATACTTTAAAACTTTATTATAGATAAAACAAAATATTTTCCATGCTCTTTTTGTTCTCCTTTCTAAAGAGAAACAGAATGTGACAACTATGAAGGAAGTATCAATAGAGATATATCTCCGATATACGTATTCAGATGCTAGAGGTCTAATCAAATATAATGTAAATAAGAGAGATAGTCATTTTTTTCGATATATATATGCTTTGGGGTAATTAAGACTAAATTACACGGACAAAAACGCATGTTTTTAACGAATACTGTGCATAGAATGAACATCGTTGACTAAAAGTGCATTTGTATTTATTAAGATTAGCAGAATAATTCAGTTGAGCCTTAATTAGCAGTCGGATCACGAACAAATTGAACATTTTATGTACATTATCAATTCTCTTTATAATAAACCAAAAACGTTTTTTAAAAATACACAACTTTTTAGTTCAAACTTTCCCAGATTGAAAACGATACTTGACAATATATATTAAAAGAGTTTGCAGGTTTAGGAACTTGTCGTTTTCTAGAAGAAAAATATTTAATTCTTTTCCGCCGTTTTGACTAGTTCTGAAAATTTAAATAAAATTTTTACTTTTCAATGTAAACCTCGGTTCTGTAACCAATCGATAGACCGAGTTGAGATATATATGTGAAAGATTGTCATTATTCCCAGGCAAGATTTGGCGGAGAAAATCGTATTTGACCTTCAGAATGGTGTTTTGAGACCAAAAGTGTGCTTTTTCGAGATCTTGCCTTCAGTTTCTCTACGGGGAAACATTTTGGAGCGGAAATGTGAGTGTAGAACTTGTTTATTATGTTTTGTTCTATGGGATAATACTTCGCTATAGCTAAATTTCTTAATGTTAACCTTTCAAATCGAAAATACTGCGGAGAAAAGATGCTCAAACTTTTACGCTACTTTCTCTTTTCTTCTGAGAAATGAGGATAGTGTTCAGAAAATCTTCAACTGATAGGACACAGATACTTTCACATATGGAACCGAATGGAAGTGTCAAAAATCGAAAAGAATAACGATGTTAGGATCAGTATTTCAGAGTCGCGGAGCGGAAAATCTTCCAGGACTTTGAGTCAAATTTCGCTCGACGAAAGCATTTTCAAGGAAAAGTGTGGGTACAAAAGTTGTTCAAGATCAGATTCTATGGGGCAGGTCAAAATGGAATAACTCAGTCATAACTTGACCAAAAGTTCGATCAAACTTCTTTATAGATACATCTTGATGTCCTCTATCGGGTGACATCGAAATCGAGGTTATAAATAGAAATTTGGAAATTTCATTGAAAGTTTAAAGAATACATCAAAAAATTGAGAAAAAATTATAAAAAAGATTTTCTCAAAAACTACAAGTCCGATGACCGAAAACTGTTTACCATATGTATTTCAAACTGTCCTCTACAAAATAGTGAAAAAAACGAGTGATAGGTTCCTCTCTTAACACATCAAATCAATATACGCATCACTTGTCATTGTTTAAGGTGGTGATGATGCGTAGAAATTTCGTGTTCGATTTTATGAACAACATATATCTGCGTACTATTAGCTTTATTGACAAACACATATAATTGATAGAATATTTTTATTTTAAACGCTATTCTTAATAAAGAACCGAAACACACAACAAAAACATTCAGGAATAAGCACCACTATCATTATATCGGCTCTTGCTTTTCAAACATAGAATGAAACCATTCCATGCCGTGTCGTTCTTCTTTCTTTACAAAATCTACAAAAAACGACAAACGAAGATAAGTAAAGAAGATTCTTCATTATTTACACACAGGTATTCTGATGCATTCATTTCTTTCCTGTCATCAAGTTGATTCACATCTTTAGAGTAGCACATGGCACATCCTCAAAACACAGCAGCTCGGTCGAAGAAGTGTGACATATGTCAAGAACGAGCTGGCGCGTTGTCATGCACTGGCTGTGAGCAAGTCTTCTGCAAACATGACATGATTCAACATCGACAACAGCTCTCACGTGAACTCGATCTCGTTATGCGCGAACATAATGATCTCGACAAACGAATTCAACATAAGATGACAGGTGATCAGGGTGGACATCGAAAGCTGCTCGATCAGATCAACGAGTGGGAAAAGTCAGTCATCGATAAGATCGAAGATGCTGCTCAACAAGCACGTAAACAAGTGTATTTTCTTCTTGACCAACCAGCTCATCGTCTCAGACAAATCACCAATGACATTGAACCTATAATGAAAGCGGAAGACTATGTTGAGACAGACATCGAGTATTGGAGTAATCAAGTGAAGAAACTGAGTAAAGAGATTGAGATGAGTGACTCGACGAACATTGTGATTGAGACTGCACAAGTTGATTGGACATCGTTGATCAAGGTGCAAGAGATATTGCCAGTGAATATGAGCAAAACACTTGATTATGGACGATTGAGAAATGAAGCATCGAAGGTGATCAAAGACGAGAGGTATATCTATGGTTCATCCACCGAACCATACAATTTTATTCATCTTTAAAATAATTTATAAAAAATAAAATAGTGTTTGTTTTTCTATGTTTATTGTTGAATATACATATTGATAGTTACTTTTACTGTTACAGAGATGCATTTATTGATGAAAAACGTCGATTAGAATCCCGTATTGCACAATTGGAAGAAGAACTTGAAGACGAACAAACAAATTCTGAGTTGAATCTTGATAAACATAAAAAATCGGCATTACATGTTGAACAATTGATGCTCGATTTCGCTGCAGAAAAGTCAAATAATCAAAAAGCGGAAGTACGAAAAAATGAATGGCCGATTTTTTTTATTTAAATTTATGAAAAATCTTATATTTTTAATATTTTTTAGGCTGTTCGTGCTAATCTTGAGCGTCAAAATCGTGAATTACGTGAAAAATTGGAAGAATTTGAAGAATTTAGTAAAGGAAAATCAAAAGCTTTATTGGGTGCACTTGTAGCCAAAGTACATACATTGGAAGAACAACTGGATGTTGAAGTCAGGTACAATTTTATTCATCTTTAAAATAATTTATAAAGAATAAAATGGTGTTTGTTTTCGTTTATATGTAGAGAAAAACAAAAATTTACTCGAAGTATGAGATCGATTGAAAAACGTCTTCGTGAAGCGGTTTCTATAGCAGAAGAATCCAAAAAACAAGCAGATACATATAAAGAACAAGTAAAATTGTAGTTAGATTTTGAGAGAAAGACGACTGACTATATTCTCTTTGATCTTAGGCTGAAAAAGCGAATGCACGTATTCGCGCCATGAAACGTGCACTAGACGATTTAGAAGAAGAAGTTAGTCAATTCAATGGACGTTTACGTAAAGCACAACGTGAGAAAGATGAGCTTGATGAAATAGTTACTGTTCAAAGTTCTCAAACAAAAACACGGTAAGATATTATTTTTGTGTATTGTGTGTATATGAAAAGTTGCTTTAATAACAAACAAAAAAAATATTCTAATATCTTGGGTGCTTTGTGCAGGAAGGAATCAACAATATCCAACTTGTTCAGTGGTGCTCGCCGTATGACATATAATGATGGAGGAGATTCAGAGGTAGTATGGTCATTTACTGATGCTTAGCTCTTTTGTTGCACCATCAATGAAGCAGCACTTTCTTCTTTTATCTTGTCGTGTAAACTGATATTTATAAATTATTTAAAGACCTGCTTACTGTAATTTATGGGAGTTCTCACAATATGCACTTTTTCAAAGAATATTTTTGTATTGTAACGATATCAAATATCCCGTTGTATTTCTTTATATAACAGTGTATTTAATGCGATACCAGACAGGTATGATTTACTTTAAAAATAAATTATAAAGCGCATGATTTAAAAAATAATAGAGAGTGCATGTTTACAGTTTTGCCTTTTACCAACTTATGAGTATTAAACATCTTTTTTTCTTTTTTGTTTCTCTTATTTAATCAATACATGCAATGTTAGATGAAATTTTAAACTTGATATAGGTCATAGACTTGGCTGTTTTACATGAAATTGCGTTAATGTAAACGGTTTCATGTTTATTCAGTTTTGAAAAGGAATGAGCGAAGCGACTAGTATGTAGTCGATATGAATGTGTGTTTCAGATTTAACTGCAACCGTCTTCTACGATTATTTTTGGTTTTCTATAAACCTATTTGAAGTTAGATGGTCTCACTCGGTCTCATTTAAATATTATCTCATTTCGATGATGCGCGAGCTTTTTAAGCAAATTCTATTTGCTTTTCTTGCATGTATATTCATTATTAATCAAAAGTCTCTGTTTATAATGTATTCTAACAGATATCTACTCTTTTTTTTTTTATTATTTTAGTCCATCGTATATTAAAACACACATCACAAAATATTATAGTGAAATATCTGATGATGATTTACAATCAGAAGCAACAAATGCCAGTGTATCAGAAACATTAAATGGTGGACGAAGTAGTGCAGGTGGAATGGTTGATAATAACAGTTTTCACAGCGGTCATCATTAATATTAGTGTACACGCATCCTGTGTGCGTGTTCTATTTCTGCAGTGTCACAGTGATCTTATTAATCTATCTATCTATCTATATATATATATATCTGTGTGTGTGTCAGAATTTGTCAGATGCTTGCTTCATGGCGAGAAACGTTAATTATCAAAACTTAGCGTTTTTCTCGCTAATTAACGAATTTTGTGCCAGCAGATAAAATGTGTGAAATTTAATTCCTGGCATTTTTTATTTCGAACTCGCACATCTAGGATGTTTCCCTACCGAAAAAAATAGTAATTAGGTGTTTATCCTCCTCGAATATGAATATGTCGCTAATCTACGCTAATTTAAAAGCAGGTGTCACTACTCTACTGCGGACGGTCGGTCGGACATTTCGTTTATATGACCCTAACTTTTAGTCAAGGGAATTAAATGTTGGTTATATAGTAAAAAGAACAATTATTTTATAGAACTAATTCATCATACGAGAAAAGCCTTGATAAAATTGATAAAATGTATCGTATTCATTTGAAAAAGTTCGCAAAATTAAAGAATATTTTGTTTTCTACCATGATGAAGAAGAAGTTAATTTCATTATAAATAATCTTTTCTTTTTTTACATTTATTCATTCATTCAGTATATTCTAATTTATCCTTCGTTATACAAGACGCACAAGATATAAAAATCTTGCAATCAATACATCAATACATAAGATATAAAAATTAATCAAAAATTAATGAACATTTGTTTATTGAGTACATACATACTGAGCAATTCGAAAAACAAAAAATTATTTTGAATTACGTTTACAATAATTACATAAAAAAGATAAAATTGAAGTAACGAATAAAATTAAAATATTTAGATATAATATCCATCGTTGACAAATAAATAACTGACATAGATACATTACTATTCGTCCACATGAATTAACAACTATACTTTGACCAAGAGTTGAAGCTGAATGATTTTCATAAGGATTACATAAATAGTCAAATGCAATCATTGATCAAATACCATTCACAATTCCATAACAAAAAAATAATATATATTGAACTAGAACAGGAGATATAAATAAAAAATTTTCTTGTTCTTCACGCCAAAAACTATAATAGGACGAATATCACACTATGGAACAATGTTACTAATAGAATAACGATCTAGAATAAAAGATAAACAACACTCGTCAATCATTCTTAGAATATTTATCTTTTTATATATAGAGATATATTACCGTTCTTCCGAGACGTTTCAATAGAACAGCAAATAAAATACTTGAAATAGTTAGACTAATTCCATATAAAATCAATGTTTCAATTAAATGTTTTATACCATATAAACAAGAAACGGAAAACTAAAACAGAATATTTATTAATATTGTACAATAGAAAAATGACTATAGACCTTATTAGATATAAAATGTTGACAGATGAGTATATGTTTTTTTTTCTAAAAATTTATTTTTATTTTTTTTTACATACTTTTGCATACTTCCGTACACATAAGCTTCTTGTAATCCAATATAAAGTAGAAGAATATACACTAAAATATGTGCACGTCTATAATATTGAAGATTCTGATTATTTTCTATACGATTTTCATTTTTAAAGGCTGTTTGTAATGATGACCATTCAACAACTGCTTGTGGAAGTAAACTTAATAAGGTAAATATTAATAAAGATAAAAAAATATGTATCTCTCAGGTTCCAACTACCATTCTAAAAAAATACAAAACAAAATAGAACAAACATTTAGAACACATCTGTATCATTAATATCCCCCTTCGTAATCGTAGCCCTCTCCGTATTAGAAGTCTCCTCTAGAGGAGTCGATGTGGAAGGTGTACTATGTTCTATTACATCCGGAAAATAATTCGAATTTTAATTGTTCTTGTGTGATGTTCTTGTGTGTGTGACCTTGTTTGACATTGATAGAATTATCAGTATTTACAGTCTAGAGCATACGATTATGACTTCAACAACAATAAATAAACTCGTAGAATCATCTAAATAAATCGTAGAAATGTTTACTTTTATTAATTCAATAAGCTTGATAAATAGTTTCAAAGACTGATTAGAGAGTTGGATTATTCTTGACTCATAATCAGCATTTTAACGCTAAGATAAAAGCACACTTCTTACGGGTGCGGCAAAATAAATAGCGATTTCAGTAAAACATTTTCTCAATATTTTCAATTTTTATTATCCAGACTTAAGTTTTTTTTAAAAGATTCTCCATTCTATTCTCTATACAATATATATTGAACAATTCTCTACATACTATAAGAATAAAAAGAAAGTAAAGAGGAAATACGAGGGCTTCAATCTCGATTACTTTCAAGCCCAAAGCAGAATCAAAAAATATTTATTTTAAAAAAGATGCTATGCATCAAAGTGCAATCGAAATGTATTTTATGACGCTCCGGAGTGTCACTTGCCTTTCGGTGTATCATCACTTCGCTTTAAACCTTTTTTCTGCCACTAACGAAGATTTTACTAAAGTAACGGGAGAATTTGATTTCTTCGTCTTAAGGAAACGAAATGGGACTATTCGACTTTCTCTGTTCGGATGTAATAGAAGAATTATTTTGCTTTAAGATAAACCAGACTCGACCTCATAATGTGTGTTTTTAACCGAATTATACAAATTTTCCTAAACTCTAGTTGAAAAATGATGATTTTGGGCAAAACTGCTAAAAGAAAAATAAATTCTCTTCCAACCGTTTGCGTCCATAAAGAGTCTTAAATATAGCCAGTTAATAGAGCTTTTCAAGGACTATAATATAACCTTTTTTTTCTTGTTTATATCGCACAATATAAAGGACTGAAATTCATAAAACTGTTTTTTTGGGTTCGAAAGTAATCGAGATTGAAGCTTCTTGTATTTACTTTTTACTTTTTTTTTATTTTTATAGCATATAGAGAATTGTTCAATATATATATATTTATACTAGCTGAAGTACCCGACGTTGCCCGGGAAAACTCAGTTTCGTATACTTAACATATTGGAAAACGGGTCTTATGGTTTCGTATAAGTTACCGATCTTGAATGTGCCAAAACACACTCGGATTACTTTCTATTTTCAACTTGTTTTCTGTTTTTCGCATTTTAAAGTTTTGTTAAATAGTTTTATTCTTTTCAATATGTTTTTTTGTTTTATGGGATTCTTTCATTTAAGAGGGACTGTGTGCTGTGAAATACAATTTTTGATTTTAATAAATACAAATTTATTTTTTTAGAAAAGTGCATTTTTAACAAAATTACCTTAGAAATTTGCTCTTGAAGTCACAATCGAAAATACCGTAGTAATCTGTAAATCTTGTGATGTGTATATTGACTGTTACACACTTACTTGCGTGTGCGAGAGTACGTTTATTAGTAGAATCGAGAGAAGATGAGGAACACTATAGTGAATATACTTGTGACACAAAAGAATAATAGAAAAACCGGCCTATGTGTATATGTATAGAACATCGTAAAACATTCCAAAAGTGTCATCGGATAGTGTCATGTGAAAATTCCAATGACGATATATGACGCATCAGAAAGAATGTGATACATCATACGCTTGATGTATGTTGAATGACAGTCGCTTTGAGAATCACTCTAATAAATCCTTTTGGTGAGGTCTTTGAATGTTAGTTTAGGGTTAAAGAAAACTTCTTTGTAAAATGTTGTTATCGTTTTAAAACGTTTTCGTTGAAAACTTGATCAAAAGAATATTACTGACCATGAAAATACAGTAAACTCCGGTTGATCAGCAAATTGATCAATCAGATTTGTTCATACTTTCATACCTAGAATCTTTTGTGTGCAATGGCGAAAATCTCAGGTCTTTATCTCCTATCGTTCTCCGGTTATTAAGAAAACAATTGTACGCTCAGACGTTTTGGATGGGACACTTACTGTAGCGTTCCAACAACAGGGCCACTAAGTACCTCGCGGATAAAAATTTTGAATTGAAAAGCAGCCCTTCACACGGGGGGGGGGCGCAGAAAGGTGAGCAAAGCAACGGGAGAGTACTCCCTAAGAACAAACAAACAAACTTTCTTCTTTATATATATATGGATGGTGTACGCCCTGTCCGGAATTGTAACGGAATTTCGTTTTTCTAACTTGTGCGCCTTCTATCTCGGTAAGCAACGAATAGATAAAAGATAAATTTTTATCAAATGTGTAGCGTCTGGTCCTGCTACATAGAAAATTTGGAGCTGATGTCATCCATCCGATCAAAAGTTATAGGCAAAATGAAGGCCGTAACCGAATTTCCAAAGATGGACGGTTTTTTTCAGAGGTTTTAGAACTTTGATAATTTCTCTAAAATTAGACATCACAGGAAGATCTTGTTTGTATGCAACTTGTAGAATTTTCATCAGGCTTTCACATTATCTAATTGGTTTTGTCTGAGGATGTCCGGATCGGAAAAGAGAGCAAAACTACGTTCCTAACGGAATTTCATCTTTTTTCATAGTTCCATATGCGGGGAGTAATCCCCATTGCGAACTTTCACTGGAAGAAATTTCATGTGATATGGTCGGTTGACAGGACGCAATGCTGATGAACCTCACTCGAATTAAGGGTAGAGACTCTTTTCCCGATTATTGACTTCTATTTGAAAAAGATCTCCTAGCTCTCAAAGGCGTCTATTTTTGCAGATGGATTGCACTGAACTGAAGAAACTCTCGCATGTGAATAGAGGTTTTGATACATTCTGATTCCGACTTCGATCTCAAAATTTAAAAACTTTAATTTTAAAGTGGGTTTTGAAGTTCTTCAAAAACCACTTTAAAATTGAGATTTTCAATTTTCGACCTTTGACTCGTAATCAACGTGAAAATGTACGTTTAATGATGTGTGTCACAAAACTAAGACGAAAAAAAACTTTCACGCAAGCTCCTGACGAAGGAGACCGTTAGGTGGACAAACCGTGTATAGACAATTGAACGGGGAATCTTTTGAAAAAAATTAAGTCTGGCAATAAAACTTGAAAAAACACTGAGACTGCCATTTTTTCTG